GCAAAGCCTGACCAGAAGGATTCTGATGGAGGCGTTGATTACAAGTTCTATTGGGAAGACTGGGTTGACAGTGTCCCTGTATGTCAAGAAGTAGACGACGTGATCAAGCTTTGTACCAGTCTCTTAGGCTTGGTCGGAGTCGAGTGCGGTAGGGATACCGTGCTCCTGACAAAGATCATACGCATTGGCAAGCGAAATCTAGCCGATGACCCCTCAGAAGAGAACCGGAAACGATGGATCAACTTTTCAGCCACCTTTATCGCGCCTGCGGTATCCTTCACCGGCAGGAACCCCGGAATTATCAATGAGGTGTGGGACCTCTTCAAACATTTCGACACTGCCACTCGATACACCATTTACCAACAATGGTTTAACGGAATGCTCAAGCCAGCCAGCAAGAGGGCTTTCGAACAAGTCCGCGATGAGACCAAAAAGACAATGAGCCGTATTTCTGCTACCAACACGAAGGAGTATGGCCGTAAAATAGCCAAAATTTCGTACGCCAGTCCTGGATGGGTCTTCAAGACAACGGTCAAGCAACTAGTCAACTACCCCAATATGATTACTGCTTTGGTGGAGTGCAGCCGATATCTCACCTTGCTCGGATACGACGTCTTAACCTGGACCTTGGTGACGTACCTTCTCAGCCCCGATAAAGGCTCGCATCAGGACGATGGCATGTTATCTGCCCCTTGGCTTAAGAACATTGCTACATTTGTCGGCAAAGCTTACGCAAAGTATCATTTGATGGACCCCGTCCCAATACTTCAACTCACCATGCGCCAACTCTTAATTGCAGAAGGTGAGCTCTACATGTTGGATGTGCTTGAGCAGATGGTCAAGTCTATGGGCGGAATCAGCCTCAGCGGATCCGTCTCCGAGGCGATGACCCTAGCCCTCTGTGCTGGACCAGCGCTTCGAACATTTACTTTGCAGCATCGCTTAGCGGATTATCGACACTTGGCCGGTTCTTCTGCGCGACGTCTGGTTAGGTGCCTGAAAGAGACAGGTCTGGGACCGCAGATTCTTATTGCACTTGCGCAGCACGTGGAGGCTTACATTCACCGTGTCGATCAGCAAGAGGTTCCCGATAAGCCAGTTCTCTTCAACGTTGACAAGCTTCGCTCCAATCTGCTTCAGTATCTGGAGCTCCTCCGGGCATACGTTACCGTGGATGACTTTGACACGATCTTCCCGCCTCTTATCGAGATGATGTCTGATTTCAACATCGAACCAGATGTTGCCTTCACCATTGCTCGCGCAAGTATAGCTGCCAAGGCTAATGAGTTCCGAACTGATCAACGTGCGAAACTCATTGCCAACACGCAGTCAAATGGTGATACTTCTATGACAGGCATTGAAGAGGAGTCAGCCACAAACGGCGCCAAAGCCGAAGGAGCAGCTACCGAGACAACAAAGACGAGTGAAGATGTCGAAATGGCAGATACAGATCCATCTGCCGTCTCGGAGAAGCCTTCATTACCCGAAATTCCAAACGCAGAAATCGAGCGCCTGGCAAATCAGCTCCAAGAAAAGTTGCCCGCTAAGTTTGGTAATCACCCATGTTTGTCATACTATGTCACGTTCTGGCAACTTTCTCTACCAGATGTCGACATTGGGGGAATTGATCAGCAGTATAAAGAGACGATTGAATATTTCGAGCGGCAGTTGCCTGCCCCAGTCCCTGACCGCCGTGGCTATCGACCCAACGTTCCTAAGGCGGAGACCGATGCCGCACGACGGGCAAAGCATGAAATTCCTAAACTCAAGGAAGAAAGACAAACCGTTACACAAGCCAACACGGCGACACAAGACAGCCTCAGGGCTGAGCTTAAGGGATGGTTTGCTGGTGTAGCGATGATTGGTCCACAGTGCGATGCGTTGCACAATGCTTTGCTCCAAGACTGCTTCGTTCCACGCAGCCGCATGTCGCTGGAAGACGCGCAATATGCCTCGTCCATGCTCATGTTCATGCATAGCTCAGGCGTTCCTGGATTCCGCATGAGTAGATTGTTAGACGTCCTCTTCACTACCAACAGACTTACAAGCATCATCAGCATGTATACCGAAGCAGAGTCATTGTCCTTTGGCCGATTCCTTAGTGACATACTTCGTGAGCTACAAGTTTGGCACGAGAACAAGGACGATGCGTACGCCAAGAACGCACTAGGACCAGAAAAGAACCTTCCTGGTTTTGGGAGGAGTTATGATGCCAATGGAAACGCTACAAGTTTCTTTACGTACGATCAGTTTTGCATGGTGTTGTTCAAGTGGCACAAGTCGCTTACTACTGCGCTGAAAACTTGTCTTGAGACTGGCCGCTACATGCAGATGCGCAATGCTATCAACGTTTTGCATGCTCTGGGTAACAACTTCCCCAAGGTTCAAAGCTTGGGCACAGAGCTGAAGCAGACAATCGAACATCTGAGCAAGAACGAGGAGAGGGGTGATCTCAAGAAATCATTGGAATCGGTCCTGGGTCCTATTACCAAGGGTGAGAAGACCTGGCAGGAGGACCATGTATTCCGTAATGTAAGTCCACTTCATTTGCTGAGTATTCGACGGCGAACTGACGCAACCCAGGTACCTGCACCAACACCTGCTCCCGGAAGTACGACCAATACTAGTGACAAGGCTGCAACAGAAAACAAGAAGCCTTCGCAAACACAGGACACAAAGCTCAATGCGTCTGCACCTACTTTCAAGCCAACTTCCGAACCGTAAGTGAAGTGTTGACACCGCCACTCCCAGTAATGAGACTGATCGCCCCCCTTAGAAATGGAACCCAACAAACCCCTCTACGAGACATGGATGATAGCACATCGAAGCGTAATGTTTCTACACCCGGAACTCCTGCGCCCTCAAGAGAAAGAGACTCGATTCATCCCGCATCTAGACATTCTGATGCTCAGCCATCTACCCCCTCTCAACAACAAGAGCTGGTAATGGGCAGATCTGCCCCTAAGCCGGGACCTCCAATGCACCCGTCATCTGTACCACAAAGACCAGATGGTAGAAATATGCCCATGCAACCCGCCACGGCTGGAAGACCATCACATGCTTTGCCATCCCGGCCGGACTCACAGCCATCGAGGGCACGACAATCAGAGCGTCCTGTTATGGATCGGCCGCCAGAAGCTGCGCATAGCCGCTACGACAACCGAGGCCCTCCACAAAGTGACTATGGTCGACTGGACCGCCCCGGAGACGTCGGACGTCACCGTGAGCCATCTCCTGGTCGTCGTGGGCGAATGCCTGATGGTAGAACCCCTGAAAGAATACCTCCTACGGCCGAACATCGAGAATGGTCTGGCAGAGAGCGCGACTATGACGACCGCACTTTGCGAGCACCACTACGAGATACACGGGCGCCACCAGTTCGACCACTACCCACCTGGGATGCGCGCGACGCCAGAGACCCAAGAGATCAACGTGAGCGTCCTGACCCTCGTATGCACCCTGGACCTTCAGCGATGGAGGCCCGTCGGATGCCGTCTTCCGCCTCATTGAATAATGAATATCGACGAGAGGTTCCACCAGCCAATGTCCCTTACGGTATGGAACAGAACGACAGGTCTCAACGGCTGCCCCAGGCGCCAATATCGGTCAAGGAAGAGCCCACAGTTAATCCTGCTCGTGCTGCCCTTATTAATCAAGTTGAGCATGGCAGACACGAAGCACCAAGACCTGACCGAGACAATCGTCGGGAGCGTGATTCTCGTATGAATTCTCCTCGTCATGGCGATGACAGACGCGGGGAAGATCGTCGAATGGAGGAGCGCTTGCCTGGCTATCATGGACGCAGCGATATGCCGCGTGAACATCGAGATGACCGCTCTCTCCCTCTACCACCCAGCAATCGAGACCGACGAGATGAAATGGGATCAGGCGCACCTACAGGACCGCGTGGCGGACGCAACGATCCCGCCACTTCATCTCGTGCGTCAAGGGACATGTTTCAACCAAACTCTGGCCCACGATCCTCGGGGCATCAGGCCCAAGACCCCAATTACGGGAGATTGAACCAACCCTCGGAGCCTGGGCCACCATCAGGACCTCGCAGTGACCGGACGCCGTCACAGTCGCAACCTCCTACACCTACTGCACCTTCTGGTCCTGCAGCGTCACTACCTGCAGGTGTCCACCCTAGTAGGCTTGTGAACATCGAAGGCAGAGGACCAAATGGCCCGCCACTGCAGACGAACGTACCGAACGCCCCAAGCGGTCCACGAGGTTCCAATAGAGCATCTCAGGGTCAAATTCCATCATCGCCAAATGGTTGGGGTCCTCCCACGGGTCCTGCAGCTGGAGACCGGGGGTCAAGAAATGGTGGGAACCCTTTACGGACTATCAATAATGTCTTGTCAGCGAACACGCCTGGTGAAAGGACTGGTGATCGTAATGTCCCGCCTACCAACCCACCAGTTCGTGGTCGCGGAGCCGCCCGGGCCAATGGACCGATAGATGGATCCGGTGGCACGGCAAGTCCCATGTTACCACCGCCTCATGGTTCAACGCCAAACCAATATCAGAGAGGTGGTAGAAATGACGACAGTCAAAGCAGGGTAGAGGGTATCCCGCAGGAAGATGTTCGCTCAGAGTCTCGTAGCCACAAGGACAGCAGACGGAGTGAAAAGTCAGGACGAGAGCGATCAACAGATCGGCCTGACCGTCGCTCTGACGAACGAAGCAGCCGCAGTGGGACTTCGGATCGCATAGAAGGCGAGCGTAGCTCTGAGCGTGAGCGTGGAGGACGAGAAAAACGTGGTGGTGATAGAGAAAGCAGTCGACGAGATCGCGAACGAGAAGGCGAGTCGAGGTCAGGACGGGAACCACGCGAGAGCAGCAGGCGTGAGCGAGGCTCCCGCGATGAGGGACGAACTTCAGGGAGGGAAGAACGTGACAGGCGAAGCCGAGGAAACGGTGGAGGAAGTGGAGGAGACGATGGCCGCAAGAGAGGCCGCGATCCCCAGGACCAAGCACACGGTGATGCAAAGAGGAGGCGATAGAACCATGGATTATTGGGAGTCAGGGAATTGCTTATCAGACGCAAAGATGAGGATAATGAAAGGATCGTCGACAGCAGCAGAGGTCACCCGTCTCATCGAACAACATATTATCTTTTTCTTTATCTCGCTGTTTATTTCCAGACTCGGCGAACATTCAAACAGGAAAGGGGGAAAAGGCTGCATTGCACGGCGTCCATTTTTCGATTCTTTTTTACCACACCTCTCCTCAAAGCAGCTTTTTTCTTGCTCACTCTCTCCCTTGAAAGAGCGTATACATACACTATTACGATACCCTGAGCCAATAATCGCAAAAATCTTTCATGCGGAAATCCATGTTTGGGCGTTTTTCTTTTCTGTATTTTCCAAGATGAGAATTGAGCTTGGCCAATGAGTTTTTTCATTGAATAGGGCGTTGGCGATATTCTCCCGTGACGAGGTTTTGAGTTGGGTTTTCCTTTGGGATTTTGTCTCAATAGTACTTGGTTTTGTGGGGATGTGGAGATGAAGATTAAGCTACGAATGAAGGCTTTCGGACTAGAGCTATGGAAAGCGTGTTTCGTCTTTACAGGACTTGGACAATGTACCGCGCGTCTTATTATCTATAGCTGTGCTAATATGTTGGGGACCTGTCTTGAGCTAGCGCCTTGTCATGAAACGAATAACATAACCTCTTGGAGCCAGTTCAGCTAGACCAGCCGGAGGAGCCGGTAATAGGCAGCCACAGGAGTAAGTAGCCGGAGAAGCCAGGTCAGTGAGCAGCGGGTAGTTACAGATGTAGATATGTACATAGAAATAGTGAGATTGGAGCTAAATCTGCATCCCTCCCTCTTCCGCACTGTTTACTGGCTGTAAGTGTATATGAGGTTACCAATCACCGTCATTGGAAGGTTTTGGGACCTGCTCGGTTGCTCTGTTTCCCGTCTCCGTTCGCCTTCCTTTCTACTTGGGCTTCGTAGATGTCGGTTAGCGTTGCAACTAGTACGCTGATCTAGGTTAGGATGACAACAGAAAGGTCTAGTCACCTAGTTTCAACGGCCTGTCTACATGGAAGCTTCGTTGGGCTTAAAAAAGAAGGAAAAGTGGAATATATACTGAAACTAGACTAGGCAGGGCTTTCCGATGTCAGGTGTGCGCTACTAATGAAATATGTAGGAGAGTTCCGTCTCGGTAGCGTCGTCTTACTACCGAAAATCACACTTATTTCCATATCCCTGTTTTCCCTGGCGGAACCTAGATTAGGCATAGCCGAAAGGGCAAAAACAAAAAAAACAGAACCGAACAGAATCTGAATCGCCGTCTTCCTGCATTGCCCACGAGTGTGTGTGTGTAACCGAAGTACCCCCATTCTCACGTAGCCGCAGTGGTATCTACGGACTGGACCATGCAAGTAAGAAATATTTACTAATCCAGATCTTGGAAACCCCCTTCCCGCCACTGCCGCGAGATATCTCTTGTCCGGCGTTTGTTTGCTCTTCTCACTGCTTATTTATGCGCAACTGCAATCCGCGTCTTCCCCCACCTGAAGTCGTCCATCTTGAGCAGTGTGTACACTTGCGTCATCTGGCCAATGAGGGGGCCAAAACGGTGACAAAGTAGTATCCCTACCACTAATTGCACTGCATCTTTGATCGACTGTGCGCACATGAGAATGACGATTGTGTCCCAGAACTTGTGGTAGGTGTCGATGAAGATGAGGACGAGGAGGATGCGGGCGTCGAGTTGGGCTGTGAGGGGAATGTTAGAGTGAGTTTTTTTTTCTGGAGTGGAAAGGGAGAGGGAAACGTTACGTACATCGGTAGTTGGCGAAGAAGAGGGAGGGAGCAATGATCCAGGTTACGACGGATCTGAAGGCAGCGAGTCGCTCAGTCCAGCCGGTGTTTTTGCGGCAGAAGAGGAGACAGTCGCTTGTGAGGGGGCCGAGGGTCCATCGGCGGCGTTGGCTTAGGAAGACGGACAAGTTGGTTGGGGCTGTAGTGTAGGCTTTTGCACTCAGACATAGACGGGTTTGACGTCTGGGTTCTCTGATAGTACTAGACATATGTGGTCTCGATCCTCGCTCATCATTGATTGGATGGTTCGGAACAAGCCATCGGTTTCCTTGGGGTAGTATCCGAATTTCTTCATGATATCGTCGCCACATGTAGACTCCTCAACTCGAAGCAGCTGGCAGCATCCTGGCAGGCAAGTTACCCGCTCACTTGTGAGACTTTGGCGTAGACGACGGCGGTATTGGCCGGCCATGTACTCGGCATTCTGGTAGAGATAGGCGGGTGAAAACGATGACACGTTGGTAGGGTCGGGTCGAATGAAACCAGTCACGCCAACGATCTTGTCATCTTCCCTCACAGTTTGAATCAGGTTGGAGACGCACTTGTCATCAAACCGAGTATCAGCGTCGATGCCAACAACATAGTCGACATTTTGGATCGACAAGCTTTCGAGGAAACCAGAGAGTTCGGCAAAGAGCTTTGGGCCGAACATTGCTAATTCCGGATTCGATTTACGTTGGTTGAATTTGGAGAGGAAAGCCCGCATGAGAACGACTCCGTCTCGTTTGCCGCGGTTTTCGTTCTTGACCAGGCAGACGATTGGCACACCTCTGAATTCTCCCTTGACAAGCTCGATTTGCATAGAAGCACCGTCCCATGAAGTATAGGCGTCAGACATGCGAATGCTGGTAGGATGCTCGATAATGTCTTCAACCAGATGGGCAGCAGTCGTTTTGGTCATGCCTTTGGTGCTAACGCGGCCATCACAGACTACGAGGATGACTTTCTTGTGGTCTTCCACCGACTTTTGTGCAGCCAAGGACTCCAATGAGACCATAACCTCTGCGTATGTCTCATTGTAGCAACAGAGGAGGTACGCAAGGCTTTCTGGTGTTTCGGGAGTCTTGGGAGGCGTCGGTCGGAGGTACCGGACGAGGCCAAAGATGAGGATACAGACCATCTCAACGAAGTCAACCACGGGCCGCAACGCAATCAGTGGAATAAGCCACCAGAAGTTCTGGATGTAGTTTGAGAGCAGGTGTGTCAGGGCCAAACTGGAGGATAGTAATCAGCAATCGCTATCTCACATGATGTGCCAATGCAGGGAGGGGGGTGCTTACTTCAAAGGAATCAGAACAGCATATACAATATATTTCTGAGTTCTTAGTCGGCGAGTATTGACGCTGGGCAAATGTTCAATTGCGCTGCGTAGCGTCTTGGTGGACAGTGGAAAGGATCGTTTCCGTAGATAATCTAGTATATCATTTAGTATGGCAGCATTTCCAGCCATGGTGCTTGGAAAAGGTATCATACCCATCTTAAAAGTGGGAAATTGAACAGACTAGAAATATAAGCTGAAATAAAAATGAAATAATCGTGTGCTTGGGTAGTGTAGGTTCTGTGAAAAACAGGAAAGAACTTGACTGTCTTGGTCTGGATTTGGTAGATGAGATCTTGCTTGATATACTGCTCAAGTTTCTAGACAAGGGCAACTCGAATACAAGCATGATTATGAACGGCATTTTCCAAGAGTTTTAGAAAAAGTGACCGACCTGCTAGCCTCTCGGGCAGATACCTACGTGTTGTTGGACTCCTCTTGCCTGAGAGGGCTATTTCTCCGGCTCCAGATCTTTTGGCATATTGGTAAGCCATGGTATCGTGGAGTTTTCACATCCGTTGCAGCCGACGGAAGCCTGTGGGAGTTCATCATCGGGCCGTACGGACGGAGAAGAGCCTTGGAAGTGACATTCGTACTGATATTGACCTTCGGCCCTATCGCATTCTTGACTACCGAGAATACAGCCATCTGCCTTCTATGGTAAAACTCGATATATCTCAACACTAGCAAATAATTCCTCCGGTCTAAATATCTGTGATACGATCCGTTCACCACTAGCGCACCATCACCTCATGTGCCGGCAATCTCTCTCTGCTTGAAACTTGCTCTTCCTCATAAAATCATCTCTAATCTTCTAAAGCATGATATATTGTGGTGTAGTATCACATGACTAGCTTGTAGTATATATTACCATCTTCTTTCGTACGCAGATAGGCACCTTCTTCAACCAATCCCTCACAGCGATTAGCTATCAGCTTATTTCTAGCTACTCGATTGCGGGTCGCCCCTCTGATCTTTTGAGCTCGATCACGTATCGTGCCACAATATATATCGTCCAACTCAAACCACAGTTTGCTGAATCCTACAATTCGCTCAATGGCTAAGTCCGACGCACCCAGCACAATCGCAATCATCGGGGTGGGCTATGTGAGAGAACATCTCATGGAAGTTTTCTCTTCAGCCTTCCCCATAATTGCATACGACATTTCCCCTTCCCGGATAGATAATCTCCGTCTGAAGCACTCGGAGAAGCACAATGTCAAGTTCACTACAGACAATAGTGATTTACAACACGCATCACACTTTCTACTCTGTGTGCCGACATCTTTGAGCTTGACTGGCGGAATCGATTCCTCGCACATTTGCAGTGCAGTGGACATGATCTGCCCCTATGTGAAAGTCAGTTCCATAGTGGTTGTAGAGAGTACTGTTGCGGTTGGAATGACTAGGCAACTACTGGGGCCTCTGGTTAAAGCTCGTGGCATCTTCGGTGGTATGTCGCCTGAAGTAAGACATCCCATACGCCTCAGAAACGAGATGAACTAACTCTGGAACAGAGAATAGACCCAGGCCGCCTGGAGCCTCCACCTAAATCGATACCTAAGGTCGTTTCTGGTCTAGACAACTTAGCGCCAGGGTCGTTGGCCGCCATCACAGGATTATATGAAACTGTTTTCGATACTGTCGTTCCTGTCAGCAAACCAGAAGTAGCTGAGATGTCAAAGCTCTATGAGAATTGCCAGAGGACCCTAGCGATTGCCTACGCAAATGAGATGGCCGATGCCTGTAAGGAACTGGGAATCGATCCTTTTGAGGTCGCCCAAACATCCGCGACCAAACCTTTCGGATACCTACCTATGTATCCCTCACTGGGCATTGGAGGTCACTGCATTCCTGTCAATCCAACATATCTCATGTCGACTTGCAAACTCCCGCTGCTTGAACAGGCGCACGCGCGTATGATGACCCGGCCATCACGCATCGCCAGTCACCTCCTAGAGTCGGTACTCCAGGAAAGCTGTCACAAACACGATGCAGCACATCGACCCAGAGTGCTCGTTGTCGGGATTGGGTTCAAGGCAGGCCAATCGGATATGTCCCACTCTCCTGGGTTGCAACTCCTGAACTACCTGCGCCAATCGGGCGAAGTCGATCTGATGTTTTGCGATCCATTGGTAAGCCAGGATTCTCTACCAAGGGTGCCGAAACTCGAGAACAGCTGCTGGAAGTTGGAAGTTTTGAAGACATTTGATGCTATAGTGGTTGCTGTGAAGCAGCCGTCTCTGGACTACGAGATTTTGAAGTATTTGACCGGCGTGCGGGTCGAAGTCTGGCAAAGATAACAAAATGAAAAACACGGCTGTGGGGGAGCGAGGTCCTCGAAGATGCCTGGGGGGAGGCTTACGGTGGTCCTAGTGACATGGTCAAAGCTGACCAGGGGTCCGATCATCCCCCCGTAGTGTTTCGATCAATTCCACAATACTAGCTTTCGCTTATCGTCTACAAATGTTTGAGTACGAGAGAGGACATGGGTAACATTTCACGGATTCTGAACTACTGCAAATCTCGAAATGCTCTGGATTGGAGCATTGTGGGTTATGCAATGTTGTTGCTTGCTACGGAAGTCGCTCCCAAAAGTTATCGCCAGACCGGAGGAGCTCGGTTAGGAGTTCTTGCTAGTAGCGTTTTGTTAAGCGGTCCGATATAATCTTAGCGCTAATATATCTTTTTAG